ATATCGCTTTGTGATTTATTAGCCAAGAGAAGCAATCACAGAAAACAAGCTTTGTTCGCTACCTTCTTTGTTCTCATGACTACAATGGGTATATTTTGCCGCATAATGAATCGCCGACAAAATTTACAGTTTACAAACGTGTATATCAAATGGCTGAAAGGACTTTTGCATGCTAAGATTTTCAAGGGTGTTTCTAAGGCCACGTTGTTTGTTGAAACGTTCTTTTCAAGCAGATCCGTTGAATGTCAAAACCTAGAGCGCAGTTTAGATATCTTTGGCAATAGTGTCTTGCAACAGGACCGAGATTCCTCTGATGCGACTTTGTTTCTGTCATAGCAATTTCTGATAAACTACCCCGGGACTCTCTTCATTTGTGGAGAAAGTTCTCAGATTCAGTCCGTTGGCGTGAGATAAATACTAACCCTTTCCTACGCAATATTCGGAACACCCCAGTTGGACTTTCTTGTCAAGATTCCTAAATTCAAGTTGATGAGGTCCGAGGATTTCGGGAAGCTGCCATTACATTCTGCATGCGAATATCACGGTCAGGCACGCTTCGTTCGGCGTTTATGTCTTGTGCCTCAAAACACAATGGAATATAATCAGATTTGCCTCCCTCTCCAGGGGCCATTTCAAAACTTGGCCATCCCTAGCATGCATTGACTTCTGACTCAAACTGTGAGGGTTTCACCGTCTCCTGATGATCCATGCGACCACAGGAAACTACTGGATTATCATACAAGAAACTACGGCGCAGCTTTCGCAGAACGATTCTGATGCAACCTTAAAGGATGCCTTGCTGACTGATTAGCTGGTTTCGGACGGAAAGAAACGGGCAGTAGTGTTGTACAACAGCAGGACGAAGAGCATTTGTTGTTGGGATAACACAACATGTAAATGTAATCAATCAACAATGGCTGCCATCTAACCAGACCGGACTTAGTTCTTTGATTCCCATCCTACAGCAAGAGGTTGGCTGATACATGATCTCCTTCCAGCTGGCTGGAAGACCAGTCACACTGAATTCCAGAATGAAGGAGATGCACTATCGCGTTTCCATCACCCCAAACCAAAGAAGGTTCTTCCCAATAAAGAAAACTACTCACAAGGTTGCTGAAAACTCTTGGACAGCTCACGACCGGTTTCGCCCTTCTTGGGGCTCTTCAGGTGGGCGCAGCCCTCGAGTTTCCGTCAACCTTATGTTCTATGTGAACCCAAATTGGACTGTTTTCGAGAAATAGATACTTTCTAACTTCCCCGTGCACTTCTGAGGGTCTGTTGCCCTTAAATAAAAAATCAGTAAAAAACCCAGGCAGCTGGTTTGTTGATACCTCTCAGCTGATTTGTGACCGGTGATGGCTGGTTAAATAAACAGTTTAGTCAGCTGTTTATATCAACAGCTGATAAGATCAGCACCAAACCTGTCGGATTCTCAACACCAACCTTACTGAAAGAATCTTATATCCGTGTGAAGTTTAATCACGTAACTAGAATAGCTGTAAATGAGGAGGCTCGAAGATTCAAACATTCTGCTTATGGAACTTGTCTGAAAGATCAAAAGAACATGTATATCTACTGGAAATAAGGCAGGTAACTTTGAGTAGCTTTTGGACATTTTTACCACTGGACTGGTTGCTATCGAATGTGGCTGATTTTCACCCTAAGCATGGTACCAGTTGAAAGGGATTTCTAAGAACTTTGTCACGAATAACTAAAACGAGTACAGATTATAGACCGTAGCGGTTATCTGAGCTTTCAACTGGTTTCCAGACCCCAAAGATAAGCTCCCTATCGACCATTTTGTTAGTCTTATCAAAACGCTGGTTAAAGCGTTTTTTCCGGTTTGATTTTCAGATACTTCCACCTCCAACTCGGTCCCGGGTAGATCCGTACAAACTACGCGGCTCTTTTGGGCGGGATGGTTGTACCAACAACTAGATCCTCTTCTTTCCGGTATCTTTATGTGCGCCTCGATGATCAAGCACGATGACCAAGCACAGAAGTTGTACTATTTAGGGACACATCTGGAATATGCAAATGTGTGAACCACGCACAAATTACCCACCACGTTTGATATGCCCAAGAATTACATCAGATTTACAACTGAGACCGAGACGGGTAAACCACATTCCAGGACGCGCTAGTTTGTCGGGTGAGTCGATAGGCGTAGGAAATTCCACAGCCCGCTTGTTGCTACAGGCTACATGGACAGGCAAGCTTTTGGTGCAAGTGGTTAAAAGTGGAGGATGGTGCGAACGCTTTTTCAGATGTACAACTAGGAACTGACAACCTTCAAAATGGTTGGTAGTATGAGTAGATTTGACAGTCCAAACCGAATTTCGTCCTGAGAATGAGGTCAGTCTATTTCGAAAGGTCAAGGAGCACTGCACAGCTGTTTCATCACCACCAGGAATTATCAGCAGTGCGCAGTGCGGTAGGTAATTTCGAACTCGTGACCCTCCGGCCTTTAGTCTGAAGACTCCAGCGACCCACCACGACTGGTTGATAAGCATTATGGTTAACTCGGTGCCTCTTATTATCCAGCCACGGACTTTGCACCACGTGGTCAGCTGATTACTTTGTACTCGAATGGTTCATGCGATCCGTTAATTATTCTTCGTTCTGGGCCGCATATTTTGTTAGAAATTTGAGCAGGCTTGAGGATACTCAGTGGAGATTTCCTTGATGCTCATAAACCAAAAGTTTCCGAATACTATTCGTGAGAGGCGCTCTGCTGATGATAATGAGAATGAAACGGCTGGGCTTTGCGGCTTGTCGCTGTAAACGTCCTCATCTACACACCCAATGCTAGATGCATTCTTTGAGAGGCTTCCTGGTAGTCTGAATGGAAATTTACTGGTTCCAACTCAAGTTCTGAGACACCGTTGGTTAAATTCGTCTCAGATCCTCTACCAAAAGTGGCTTAATCTAACACAATTCAGGTTCGCATGTAGGTTGGGATACTGTCGGGGCACCCAGATTTAGAAAGGGAACAATTGGGATCTTCATCCAAATCTTTTGGTTCGAAAGCAAGGCAACAGTGGCTGGCGTACTATCGTGGAAACTGCCCCATATGTTCCAACTCTCGACACAGAGGGCAAGAAAACTGTTAGTCAGACCTCTACTCATTCACCATCCTGAACGTCTGTGAGTATCACACGCACACCCCACAGTATAGCCACAATGGGTTAGGAGGACACAAACCATCATACAGCGGTAAGGTCCAATCTCCTCTTGACTGAACGCGATCTGTTCGCCATTCAGTTCAACAACACATAGCCTATCAGAGCTTTAAATGTTTCGATGCTGATAATGGCACTTGTCGGTACCGTTACTTGCCTTGATGATGTTCCGACATTCTTGCACATCAAGAAGACTAGCGACTGGTCAGTGTACCTAATGACATATTGTACGTCAGCAGAGCCGTTGTTCAGATCAAATACGAAACTAAACTCTTATGAAACGCACCCTGAAAGCTTTTATTCGTGGTTCTGTACAACCACGTACAACGCAAATGTTTTTTTTCGGGAACAGAAAAATCTCCGTAATACTCGATGACCCCATCATGTAAGTGAACTGAGTTGAGGTCAAATCAGTGGTCCTTGCTTTTTGCGAATTGTTGCAGCCACAAAGATACCATCTTCCATCAGTCCTTCAGTCAGTTCTAGTTGGATCTTCTGAAATTTCGGCAGGAATACTGCACTTTGTTGCGTGCGTGTTCGAGGACAGACGCTGATCAAAGTCACTCTTCACATTATATATACCTTCAAAACTCTTCATCATCAGGATTCACCTGGATAATCGAGCTGGAATTTCCTTCTGACATCTCTAAATTCCAGAGCGAGTTGCCCAAGTCTAGCGTCAACGCATCCCTTCTGTTTATTGCATGTACTGTAAACATTGTAGAAGAGCGAACACCTGTTCGACAGGGAAACGTCGGGGTTAATTTCTAAATGGGCACAAATATTTTTTTGAAAATAACGTACAATGCGGTTACTCTCCGTTGGAAACCAAATCGTTCAAATACTTCTTTCCCGTGATTGGACCAATCAGGAACGTGACCCTACGTAAATTCCGCTTAGACGGGAAAATTCGCAAGTGTGGTTTCACGGTGATTTTCGATAGTCACTAGTCTGTGCACTTACGTTGTAATCCAGTCCCGACCGAGATTTGACAACCTGACAGGCCTTGTACGGTAAAACAAATAGCGTATTCATATAAACCTCTCATCTACATAACTCGACTTGTTTTCTGTATGATTCAGCCCTCACACACCCCCCCCCAGTCTACAACATTTCGCCCGACTTTTTCATTTGGGCATGCGTCATCACCACAAAACCTACTAGCATAGCAATTGGCACGTGCTAGTCAGTGGCAGGTGATACATACTTGACGTTTTGTTGCTACAAGGGAAACTGTTTCATTCCATCTGATCACCACTGTCTGTAGGAGGTAAATAAACCTTTACCACGTTGGTGCTGACCTGGCAAAACTAAACATTTGTAAGCTGAACCTAAAAATGAACAGGTATAATAAATAATGTGACATGTAATGCTCTCAGTATACACCTGCTAATTAGGGAAATGTTCTGTTTATAAATAAAGAGGGGCTGGACATAACATGCTACTCATAAGATTACTGAAAACCCTCCACCTGTGAAAAGACCACCGTGAGAGATCTAGCTGGACTCAGACTTTTTTCCTCAAAACCAAATTCGTATATAAGTGAGAATATCTAGCAAAGAGGGGCTAAGTGGCGAGCGCGCGGAAACCCAAGAATACAGTGTAGGATCATCAGGCGATCAATCAGTTCGTCGTGAAACAGTATTATCGTAGAAGTGTGGTAAAGTTAACTGATGTAAAGCAAATTTCATTTAACTGAATTATACGAAGCTCTGAGGGTCCTTCATTGGTCTTCCCGGATGTCTCCTCACAAGCATTTTGACATCCATGCTTAACCTCTTATAATATAAGATTTCGTAGATTCAGATGTAATCCGATGTGTCTAGAAATCACAGAGTTATGATGAACCATCCTTTTTAATAACCGGTCGGGAGTGAGATCACGACCCGCTTGGACACAACCGCACAACTTCTCTGCAATTCTAGTACGTACTGTGAAGCATCACGAGATCAACCTGCAAACCAAGATCCTGAAAAATAGTCCCACATTTTCACGATGAATAGCATCATTCAGCATGTCACTTGAAACTCGACCAACGATCGAGTTCACAATCGATTTAGCCCTTCTTTGAATGTAATAACGTTTATGCCTCCGTTTAGTCCTTGGTCTGGGACTTCAACAAAAGAGCCACCATGCACATGTAGTAAACACCTGAAACCAGATCAAAAACACATATACAAGGCATCGTACTTGAAGTGTGTGAGGCGACAGCATTCTAGAAATTCCGATGCCGTTTGGATGCGGCATTGGCGAGCGGCATTCGGCAGATACTGATCATGACCGGTTTCTGGTTCCGCACTTTCGCCCAATCGGAGCTCGTCTGGATCCTGACATATCGCGTGCTGATCAGGCCTCTTGGTCGCAACAATGCCTAACTGCGAGCGGTAAAGCGGTTTGGGTGTGGGAGTCCATCGGGTGTGAGGGTTCATCAGGTAGTCGCAGTCCCCGAGTATGGTGAGTTTACGCAACTGGCGGATCGCATCCTTTTAAGTTGATGGTAACGGGTGACTCGGCTAAATCCAAACTGAATCTCTCGATTATAATAAATGCAGTGTGACCGGTGGAATTATATCTTGAATTGATAAGATTCAGTTGAGATTCAGTTGAGTCACCCATTAACACCATTTTAATTTAAAAATGAGTACATTTCGCCACTTGCATACAATTTTTTTGTCCAAGAGGAACACGGAGTTATGGGAAAGCTAAGACATGCGGCTACCTAATGAGATCTAACAGGAGCAGAAGTAGTCTTGGGCTGTCGAACATTTTTTCAGAAACCTTATAAGTAATGTGTGTGCTCCACCGTAAACTTTTTTTCTGAGAATGTTGACCGGTTCGATCACAGTGAATCTATTTAAAAACTGTCATTTCGTTTCGGAAACTGCTGCTTCAGTTCAATCAAGAACTATATTTCTGGAAAGTTTCGGTCATGTGGCCTTCCACTGTAGAATATATTTACAGAGAATGCTAGAAAAAGTCTGGTTCGTTCTAAATTGTTCACTCATTCTAAATTTACATAGTTTCTCGTCAAGTTGGCGATTCTGTTGTTGCTCTAGATGTCTGCTCTCCGCCTCTAAGGTAAATGTCCTTCTAAATGCTTATTTCAAGCAAGAATTCAAATTTTATTCCAAACTTTGTGGTTTTTTCTTTATCTGACAGAACACATTCCTCGTTTGAGGATTTTTGCAAGATCTCTGAACTATCTTGCTGCTGATTTTATGACATTAACATGCCTTCCTTCGAATATACAATAGCTTTCCCTGAAACGTTTGTTCACGTCTTCTTCTACACTCCTCGAAGTCATTTCGGATGATTTCCTCGTTGTTTCGTTTTTAGTGAAGACGAAACTGACTGAACCTGCTTCAAACTGTTAGATACCTGAATGCCCCACAACATATGGCATGTCACTTGAAGTGTGATGGCCTTTTGGTCTTCGAGCGAGCCGTTAGAGCCTAGCACACGCCAGGATGACTGCTACAACGAACGCTCGTGTCACTGTCTTGACTGGAACTGCTCTCGTCACCATGTTAAACTAATCATGGCCTACTTACAAGAACATGGTAGTAGGAATCCAGTAGGTGACCCTGTTGCTCAAAGTGTGTTGCTCCTGCTCATCCTAAACAAGTGTGCTATTTGCTACTTAAGAAAAGTTCGTTTTGCTCGGTTTTCCCAAGTGTCAGCCAAACCGTATGGAGAAAAATGAACAACTTACGATGTTTCTCCTCCCAAGGCTACATCCGAAGGCCTGTCTGTTGGTTTGAAGGATTCTGAAACCCAGCTAACAGGAAACAGATGTATTTAGGTTATACTATCCCGACTAACTGTATCAGGGTAGAATAGTGCACCCATACGACCGGGAAGAGTTTAAATCTACAATCCCCCTAGTCATTCTCATCAGGACATCTTGGTTAGAAGAGTATCCTAACACCGATCGATATTTTACCGGCAACCATTATAAGCCTCAGCGCGCAGTTGTCACAAAACGTGATGACATCTTGCGACAACTAAGACCAAGAAAGTGCTGTTAATTTCAGGGCCAAAGAAGGTAGGACCGCACTCGGAGGATAAGCATAGGTGTATCTGTTTGAGTCATCGATGCACAGTGCTGAATGTGAGCTTTTGGAGATGCGTGCATTATTGACAAAGGAAAGTCTCGAAATTTCCCACAGATGCGTGCGACAATTTCGGAAATACCTATGTTCAAGAATCGCTTTGGCAAGGAAGATGACAGTGTGGTCACCATGGTCTTAATCGGCAGACATCTGATCAGAGAGCTGGGGTGCTTAAATTGTTCCGGCAACACGCCCAAACATGGCAATCCCTCTTCACTACAGGGATACTAATTGAAGTATCTCATAGAAGGTATTTTTGCCGAACGCCTTTGGAATTCTACGACCTCCTAGCACAAAAACCAGGTTCTTGTGATGGATACTTTTTTAGGCTTGGTCACTTCTCCACAAAGAGACGTGATCGGACGCAGCTGAATCCCCGGTTTCAGTTAACCCTAGAACGGTCGTTATTTTTTCCATGAATTCGCTTACCATTTCCACCTGTCTACAGCTAACGGAGCCCCATCGTGCACAAAGCTGAAGACGACAAGGTTGTTCTGGTGCTAAAATCACCCAATATTTGCAGAGGTTTTGCTAAACGTACAAACAACTTTCATGAAGGAAACTACTCACAAGTTTGCTGAAAACTCTTCGACAGTCCACGACCGGTTTTGCCCGTCTTGCGTCTCATCAGGTGGGCGCAGTCCCGAGTTTCCATCAACCTTATGTTCTACTTGAACCTAAATTGGACTGTTTTCGACAAATAGAACATAAGGTTGATGGAGACTCGAGGACTGTGCCTACCTGATGAGCCCCAAGAACGGCGAAACCGGTCGTGGGCTGTCGAAGAGTTTTCAGCAAACTTGTGGGTAGTTTCCGTCATAAAAATATACTGCGATATCTCGAATATCGTACCAACTGAAACATGAGACGGCCTGTGTGCAGCACATTCAGTTATAGAATATCATAAACGAGAGATTCAGTTGAGTCCCCTGTGAAAACCAAAATGATTTGCAAATGAGTGTATTTCTCGAATACAAACCCTTTTCTTCATCTCACAACCGCATCGACTGCGTACAGATAAGAACGGTGCATTTCCGAGCGCGGAACTCAGATATATCCCAAAACGATTTGTTTTACCGATCATTCTTAGACGAGTGCTGGGATAGTCTGACATTTTCCAAACCAGCCACATTTGCTTTCATACGAACCAAAATAATGTATTAAATATTTTTCCAGTCAGTTTTGCCTGGCACTTCTGTCTTGGGAACTCCGTGCATCAACTTCGTACGACACTGCGATGCTACATTTAGCATATGCTTGAGAAGTAATCCAAAAAACTGAGAATTTTAGAATCAGGCACACATTTAGTAAATGCGATGGTGCGTTGAGACCCAAAGCGGACCTTGACATATTTTTTAGCGCAACAGATACTCTCGCTTATGGGAAGATGGACTGGGGAAAACCCGCCAAAGATTCCTCCTGAGACGATCAGTATTCACATGCTAGTTCGGTTACATGCTGCATACTGCATTGGGTTTTTAGCAGTCTGAACAGTTTCTTATAAAAATGCACGCGTTGAATCAAATACTGAGTGAAGGTAATCGGAACAGTGACCTTGATGGGAGCCTTTTCCTCCAACTGGCTGGTTCATTCCTTGTTCTAATAAGCATGAAGTTACAAAATTTTCGAAGGACCTTAATGAATCACTCACGGGGGAGTCTGAACTTCCGTTGCTCACTGGTCTTTTAGTCTTGGATTTCGTTGTGTTTCTGCCGACCTATTATGGTTTAGGAATGAAGAAAACTGAATAGAGGTTGTACTACCAAAAACGCATACGACCTTACTATCAAATAGAAAGGCATCATCACCAGGAAGGTCCTTAAATGGTATGTTCTTTGCCTTTTCTCCAAGAACCTTTTTGTGATTTTGCTTATCCCAACGGTATCACACTTCCGCTGTAGCGTAATGAACCTGTCATTTTGCTGGGTATGTGTGTTTCCTTTATGTCTACTTTGGTGATTTAACCCAACCATCACAGGAAGTATATTCATTATCGAACAGGATGGTCAAACTGGCAAACATCTCCAACAAATTTTATGGCCAGAGCAAAAAAGTAGATTTTGGATGACTGAGAGGCGGGAACAAACTTAGTCCCGTTTTTTTCAAGCCTTTCATACACCCACCGGTTCAACAGGCATCACAGTTGATCGACAAAACTGGGTTCGCACGTGACATTGGCGATTCAAGAGGCCATAATTGCAAAACTTCACTGTGGAAAAAACGAGTCAGTTTTGTTACCCGAGACATAAATGATATTCGGTCTTCGCTCATCATTTGGTCTTAACGGGGCACTCAAATGAGTCCCAACTGAATTTATCGTTTATGATACTCTTCTTCAATTGAACGTGCTGTATAAAGGCAGTCTCATGTTTCTTTTGAAACGACATTCGGGATGGCGCAGTGTATTTCCTTGAAGGGTACCAACTACTCATGAAGTTGCTGAAAACTCTTAGACAGTCCAAACCCTTTCTTACGTCTTCGAGTTCATCAGGTAGGTGTAATTCCCGTGTTTTCGCCAAATTTGTTTTTTACTTGAACCCAAATTTTGAGAAATTCACGAAATGCATTCCTTCGCACACTAGTTGCTTTTTTAACGGATGACTCAACTGAATCTCAGCTTTGTAGATGAGTATCCTTCGCGAACTGCGTCCAATTTGGGCTCAAGTGTAACATATCTCAGGGACTGCGGTTAACTTCTGAACCCCAAGAAGGGCGGATATGTTTCTGAGCTGTCAGAGCGGCAAATTTGAGTAGTTTCTTTCAAGGAAACATTCGGTACGAGCAGGCCATCAGATATCAAGTTATAATAAATAGCAGACAGTCTGTTTGTGGTCAGTATGAAACCATTGTTTTACGTAAGTAACCACCAGTAACACGCTCAAAACTTCTGAGGGGTTTTGATCGACAAACATCCGTGACCTTCTGTCATGGACTACCAGTGACTGACTGCACAGTGAGCTGATGCGCGAAACTTGACGATTTCCGAATGGCCGACGCGCGAGCGCACATACCTGAACAATGAGTATGCTTGCTCATCATCGTCATCGACAGCATGACATCAGGGTTCGACATCAATGCTTCAGTGACGTACAACCATGATTCGTTATCATTGTCATGGAATATTCGAAAAGTGTGTTAGTTTACACGTCTCGAGTTCCGCTCCGATGTGTTTTCGTTCACTTTCCACTTGTATACGTTAAAACTTGTTAGAAAGCTCAGTTTGGCAAAGCATGTGGTGTGTTAGTTTACACGTCTCCAGTTCCGCTCCGATGTGTTTTCGTTCGCTTTCCTCTTGGATACGTTAAACGTGTTAGAAAGCTCAGTTTGGCAAAGCATGTGGAAGGTTGTGCCTTTAGCAGAGAATTAACGGACGTTCAAGCATCCAAAAACGGCATAAGATCCACGCATCAGTGGTCATGTTCAAATACATCGATATTTTTCTCACTGTGATACTGGTTGAACAACTCGAAAATATTTCATCTACTTTCGCTCCAAATTTCAACCACAACTGTCTGCTGAATAAAACACTTTAAAGGGCAATCCTTTCATTCTTTGAATCAACTGCCTACCGTAACCCTCTCTCCTCATTCTGTCTTCATACGTTTAGAGCCAATATATGCAAAATTTCTTATTCATCTTGGAACGTTTAGGGCACATGAGTCTTCATCTCTGATCCCAAAGTTCTTTGCAAATTCAGCTACCGTATTCCCGATTATTACACACGTCCTCTCTGTATCTCTATTGAAAGGGTTTTGTCTGAAAAGTTACCTGCACTGATAAATAAAGTTTATTGATTTTTGTCTTTACTTGTCATCTGAAGGCATTAAACTGCCCAACAAGCCCTTTTGTTCTTAGCCGAATAAGTACCACTGATATAAGGAGAAATATGAAATTTTATAAACTAAGGCCCCGATTAATGATAAGAATGCATCAAACAGCCGAAAAATGAATAAAACTCCATCAGAACCATTTACAGCAGTCTGATGGCAAATTGGCTTAAGTGAGTCATCACAAACCTTCGTGGTAGGCCTAAAATCAACATCCGTTTTTGGATGGTACCCACCGCAGGCCACTGAGAATATGCCCCCTCTTGGCTGAAATCACGAAGCCATCTTGTTGGAAATGTGTCTTCCTCTTGATAGCCCGTCTCCCGTCTTCACTCGCTAGCCTGCGTCAATCTTATGCCATACTCGTGTGTCCCGTGGACTGTCCAATGCATTCTTTCAAGTCTTACTCAGGGAAAGCTACTCATAATTTGATGAAATTTCTCTGACCGCCCACCACGGGTTTTGCCCCTTTTGGGGCGCTCTTCGGGTAGGCGTAGTCCGCGAGTTTCCATCAACCCTATGTACTCAATAGATATTTTCAAAATACACCATCAACCTTATGTCTGTCTAGTCCATACGGTAAAAACTCACCTTCCCTCTTTTACTTATCAGTTTGACAGTGTTCCTTTTGATGAAGCAGAGAAAAGGCTCTCTTCCAAAGCCGTTCTGAGGAAGTTTATTTTCCCTGTAAATTATTAAACACACCAAACTTTCCTTGGAGTCCCTCGTTGTCCATTCATTTTTTCCGCCTTCCTATAATCAAGTGCATTTCTCTCTTTACTACTGAGTCAGTAAGCTTCGTCATAATCAGAATTTGGTCTAGAGAATACTTAATTCACCAGTTTATCGCATTCACCTGTTTCGTTTTATCCAACCCGGTAGTCTCTTTTATAGTTAAGACAAATGTTCGCTTGTGATAAAAATCGGTTCAAAAGGTGATTCTCCAACGCGGCAGATATTGGCTGAATGGTAAGAGAAACCATTGTTTAGGTGGACGGGGAAAAGTTTTGCGGCCAACATCAACGCAATGTTCAAAACGTGACACATTAATTAGCGAATATACACCCATCTGCAAACTAATTTGGTTCAGCTGGGTTCCAGGTGAGTCTCTCGAAAGAACCAAATTAGTTTGCAGATGAGTGTATATTCGCTCATTTCGTGCAATTTGGTTTCAAGTGGAACATAAGGTTGACGGAAACCCGGGGACTGCGCCTACCTGATGAGCCCAAAGTGGAAGGGCGAAACCGGTCGTGGACTGTCGATGGATTTCCAGCAACCTTAAGAGTAGTACATTACAAAAGTGACACATTAACGTTCCAGCTGCCAGCACACAAACTGGTTGATCGATACCAGATAAATTGTGGACCTCTGTGGTACCCAGTTGGTCTCAGCGCACTTGCCAAATATTGGAAACCGAGGGGACACCACCAGCTTCACAGCCAGAAAATTTTCTAATAGTCCACTGCATTTAAAGCTCGACATTTTAGCCATGGCGTCTCACAGAATAACTTGGTGAATGTCACTTCCAATTAGAATGGTCGTTCACTTCTGGCTTGTCTGATTAGACTGGTTGTGCAGACGTTTGGAGAGTGACACTCACACTCTTATAAAATGATTCCCTTATACCATTTCCATCGCAGTGAAAATCATCAGGTAGCTCTCACTCCAAAAACTAAAAGCTGTATTTTTCTTCGCTGCCTTTCTAAAATGTTCGCCCATGCACTTTTTAAGCGGGTTAAATTTTGTTCCTCAGCAGTCCCCATCGCACGTTCAACTACACGGGAATTGATTTCTGGATCATCCGTTTTCGATGCCGTTTTCCAGTTTTTTTCATTTCAGACGTAAAAAGACTAGGTACAACCATCAAAAAATCATTCATGAAATGAAAATGTTTAACAGATGTGAAAGTGTTCAGCTGTAACACCCTTCCGGTGCCTAGCTGCCATGCTACCCGAAGGAAGCACGAGGGCTGGGATACTACCAGATTGCCCAAGCCTAGACAGGGAAAGTCGAGTGGCGGAGGTCGGATTCGAACCACGGACCTTCCGGTCAGTAAATTCGGGTTCTAACCACTTGGACCATCTCGCCCCCAACAGATGTGACCGGATCCCGAAAACCTCAGACGAACGAGGACTTTCTTCCTTATTGGGACTGTACGGTGATTTGCCGGTCGACTCTGCTGGACAGTTCGAAACAGTTTCACACAGAATTGTCCACTTACTGGCCGGTTACCAAAGGCTTCGAATTTCTGGCGCGTGTGGAATACAGCTTTATTCAGAAAAATATCAAACTTCTGGTGAATGGTCAGCGGCTTCATCTAATGCGGTATTGCGAAGGCCTGATAGTCACAAGATCGTGAACTTGGGTTTTGTTTGTCCGGACATTTTAATGGAGTCTTGGTCGGATCATAAAAAACTGTGGGGTAAAGCTATTGGTTGTGCAGACGTAGGTGACGCTACAGAGTCTGTAACAAATTACTGGGTGACGTGGTCACCCAATAACTGTCTGAATTCGGACCAATAATCCTAGTTTCCCATTTCTAAAGGCCAATGCAAACCAAGGTCATCCAGTCAACAAGCTTCATGTGTTTCAACTGTTATTCCGTTCCGTAAGTAAAGTCCGTCTATCTTATTAGGAATCAGTAGTGCGCATCTCAGAAATCTTCATGAGATTAGAACTCGCACCATCCCGTTTGGCAGTTCAGCCACGACTGACCAATCAGCAGAGCATTTAGCTAAGACCTGAGCAAGATATGGGGCCACTCATCCTTCAATCACGGGTTCCACATCACGAGGTCAAGTGTTGATTGGCTGCTCGAGTAAAACATCCATCTGAGAAGTTGTCACCCGATGAGCCAGTCATCAAGTAACTACGCAATGTTTCGTCGTTCGAAGTATGAGAAGCGGTATATCCTGGGTGAGTCGATCGCACTGATAATCAGCCACTCTTAGCCGTCAGTTAAATTGTTCAAACTACTGGCAGGAGGGTTGCGGCTTCGAAACTCCTTGGAGTTTCGCGGGATGTGCACTGCGGATCATTCCTAATAGGGACGAAACAGCTCTACAATGTCCCTCGTTTGTTCAATATAGATTGGCTTCACTCAGGGGACAGTTGAAAATTCTCAATTCTCCTCACACTGCTAACAACTGTAAAGTTAAACCAATTTTCCCAGAAGTTTAGCCCACAACAAACACTGACTTGCGACTACCCAAAGCACCAAGTTTCATCCTCTCATTTGGCAACTATCTACGTGGATTCATATGTAAGAGATTTAACTTGGGCGACCTTTTTTAGCAACAACTGTACGGCTGACTGACAGCTAAAATTGACGACCAAGAACTGCACGCTAAACATAACTTTCCCACGTACGTGTGACAGCATGAACAATTTGACGAGCTAAACGATCGATTAGCATTCGCACCATCTCAGAAAAAACAATTTGGAAAAGATCCGCGTAGGTCCGAAATGTGACGTGACTTTAGTCTCTACGGCAAATTTATTCCCCACTAACGAGACAGGAGTTTTGTTGTTCAACTCCTCCTGAGTTACCCTTGAAATGCAACGCTCTGTACCATGAGAACAATGTGGTTTCGGGTGCCTTGTTTGTAGTTGCTAATATTTGCGCTTATTGGTCACAACATACGTTTTATATGACCCACAGTCTTTGCTATCCGAATGACACTGTTCTTGATAAAATTGACTATTCTAAGCGCTGAGATCCCATATAGTCGGAAACTGAACCTAACCGAATGTTTAATTTATGCCTGATTGATGTGAATCATTGTGTTGGACTAAGTCCAAATCCATACCAACGATCCATTCCGATGTTAGGATGCGTAAGTTGAGCAGCCACAATCCACAGACAGTGCAATGCATCCTTAAATAGGGGGTCACATACATTCATCACCATCATCATCATCGGCAGCATGACATCAGTGTTCATCACCGATGCTTCGCTACCGTACAACCATGATTTATTTGAAAGCCTCATTTTGAAGAAAACAATGAAAGTGGGCGGGGAAGGAATTTTGTGCTAGCCCCTCATTCTGCGGTGCCTACGCATCCAGACATCCATTCTGGAACTCTGACAACAATAATTTTACCGACATCGATTAACAGTCATAGCTTGCAGCGTTTCTAATCAGGCGCAGTGAGAATCACACGGTACATATCCTGGAAGGCGAGCTGCACATATAGCACCCAAACATTTGGTAATTTAATTCATACCTCTCTTCCATGTCAAGGGTTGGTCACCTCTATAATTCCTCGACTCTAAAATGGACACAAAATAGCACTCTTTTCGGCAAACCATGGTTTGGCATACGCAACCCACGTTCCAACCAACGCAGCTTCTGGTGCTGGGCACATTCTTAAACTGAAGTACCCGTTGCACAACCCAAAACTCGCTTTCTAATTGCCGCGTTACGGATTGTCCGACACCAACCCACGCGGGCTATGGTTCAGAGATAACGATTGTCGAACACCTGAAGACGTCTTAGTTTCGCTGCTCGAACAGGCCAAGTCTCAAAGCCATATAACAAAACAGCCCATACTGTAGCTTGATACACACGTCCTTGAGACTCATGGAAACGCTATAGGTGCCTCAAATTAACATACGCGACCAGAGCCATGCCGATTCTTGCATTTACCTCGTCTGTCACGCTACAGTCAGAACTAATACAACCTCTAAGTCATGTAAAACGCCCCATGACTTCCAGTGCATCTCCCCGGATTGTAAGGGGTGTGTTCAGTGACCGCATGTCTGGGGGCATGACATTACACCTTGTGGGTACAGAGTGCATATCAAAGGACGGGATGACTTTAGTCAGTTCATCCAAAAACATTTACGCCTTCTACTCCTCTTCGAAGATGAGAACGATGTCGTCTGCATATTCCAGATCGACAAGATTTTATTCACAGGCTATTTGAACACCGGGATTTCGGAGATCTTCCGGCGTTCGTCACAGGAGTTGATCGATCACGAAGTTAAACAGCAATGGGGAGAGTGGGTATCCCTGACGGACACCACTCTGTGTACGGAAGTCTTTGGAGAGCTCGCCGTATACTTCGGATACAGGGGACAACCTGGTGATAAACGATCAATTCCACCGATTTTTCTGTACGCCTGAAGTTTCCCGATACACAAATGTGTAATCACAGTAAGAGCGTAAAACTAATTCGTCCACTATTCCGTTTATTGTCTCTTTTTGACAGATGTATGAAGAATTTTCAATAGTGTTGTGGTAGATCCACAAACATTGTGAATGGTCTTCTACAATGGATAGAATGGAAGTTATCGGTGGCGGATAACTCAACTCGCAGAGGGTTGTTGCGGCTGATAGTGTCTCACCAGAGTTAAAATGACGGGGTCCCATACTGTAGCTCAGTATTTGTAGAATGTCGGAAGCAGTCAGTCTCAATTAAATTAAATTTAAAAGCTATAACTCATGTACTATTGGTACATTGACTCCAGCTACTACAGGTTGGACCACTGGAAAGTGGGAGAACGTGAGAGATAAATGGAACAATGGCCAGGGGACTGGCAGACAGATTGATCGTACTGCATCATTCGATGCTTGGGGATGGGGTGTGAGGGAGGACCGGTGATCGGAGAGCCGCAAGGACAAAATTCCCGGCTGCTCAAAACGAAGTGGGTAGATTTGGTTGAGGTACCTCACCTTCAGCTTTGACACAAAAACGTGAACCACGAGGCAGTATTTGGACGTAAGGTTTTGTTTGGGGATCCTGCCCCTAGCCTCTGACTCAAAACTCTAGACTACGAGTAGGCCGTTTTTCGGGTTTTCTTGGGTGCCCTTTCCGGAGCCAGTGACCCGATAGTCAGGAGTACGAAGAAGGTAGCGAACAAAGCTTGTTTTCTGTGATTATTCATCTTGGTTAATACATCACAAATTTATATGGTAGCAGAAATCACGTGGAAAAGGTTAAGATCGGGGCTACACTTTAGAGAATTCAAAGGAAGGGGGTTGGGTGAGGGGTAGGTCAATGACATTGACGTCATGACCCATTGACTTACCCCTCACCAAACCCCTTTCCTTTGACTTCTCTCAAGTGTAGCCCCGATCCTAACCTTTTCCACGTGATTTCCGCT